TATGTGCGCTTATCAAATTCAAAGCCAAGGAACTTCCAGCACGATGGGTGGATGTCGATGTGGTGGTAACCAGATTTGAGGTCAATGGAGAACATCCAGTCCCCAACGCGCGCAAGGTCGGCGACGCGGCTGAGCCCTTCGTACTTGAACTTGGGGATGATCAAGTTGGCGTTGACTTTCCTCAGATCAAGAATGAGCCTGCATTTGTCTTTTTGCTCGACCACGTTGAGTGGAATTATGCATGTAAGCTCCGTTGCGGCCATCGGAATTGCCGCTCCCGTCTCTATGAGTTCTTGGATGGCGGTACGTGTGAACGTGGCATGCGTGTTTGCCCCGACATGATTGCGATCGTGGAAATGTTGCGGTGGGCCGTGGCTCCATGGCAACCAGTAACCCTTGGCGATGACGGAGAGGACAAGGCTGCTGGGGCACCATGAGCTCCACCACGCAAATGTCGCGCGAAGACGACCGCGCATGTGTGTAATAGTTCTGTCTGTAACGGCAAATTCGTACGGATCGTCGTGGCATGCCGCCTCGCACCGTCGTGCTCCTGTACATTTGAGGCCAAGTGGTATAAGCTTTGAGTATTCCACGTTAAAGCATGCGTGTGCATGTACTTGTACGGGCAACCATTGATCGAAGGTGTGAAGAGAATGAACAATTGAATGAAATGTCAACGAATGTGTCGGGAATGTTAACGCATGTCAACGCATGTCTCTTCTTCTCCTCGTTTCCCCCTTTTTTTTTTTTTTTTTTCTTGCCCCGTCGTCCACTTGGTAGGACATGGTTGTGCCTGCCCTTAGTGCGTAGGGGCTGATGCCTAGGGCCATGGACACCGTTGTCCATTGTGCTTTCTCTCATTCTCTCTTATCTCTCTCTCTCTCTCCCTCTCTCTCTCTCTCTCTCTCTCTCTCTCTCTCTCTCTCTCTCTCTCTCTCTTTCTCTCTCTCTCTCTCTTTCTCTCTCTCTCTCTCTCCCCCCCCCCTCTCTCTCTCTCTCTCTCTCTCTCTCTCTCTCTCTCTCTCTCTCTCTCTCTCTCTCTGCTCCTCCTCTTGATTTTCATAGTCTCTTTGCCAAAACCATAGGCCTTTAGGAAGGTAGTTTTTATTAAATCAACCAACACACATAGCAATGCTTTCCTAGCATGCCACCAAGTGGCCAACATATGGGACCGAGGGGTTGTTGTTCCCCTTCCCTATCCTAGGCCCAAGCCTATCCCACCCTTTACTAGGGCTGGCCTCTTGCCATCGCAAACCCCTAGGGTTGCCCACGGTTTTCGCACTCAAGAGTGCACCGTGCCTAGCGCCCAAGCGCCTAGTCTCATGGCCCGCTCCTACACCACCGGAGCGGGTCCCTGGCCTCCATGCCCGTTCCGAGGGCAGGCACTTGCCACGTGGCCCGGCTGGCCGCAGCGGAAGCATGAGCCCCGGAACCCACGGCAATTGGCCGTGGGCGGGGGGCCTCGCTTGGGTAAGAACGGCATCGGCCCGTTGTTTCCGCCGCAGTTGACACGAGCGTATCCGCTTGCCGCACGGTCCATCGCCGCCATGTCCGCGACCGCCGGCTTGAGGGGTCGAGAAGTCAGCAGGCTCTTCTGCTGGTACAGCTTAAAGCGCTTCGCCGTGCGAAAGTCGGAGGCGTCCTCCACTTGAAGCACCTCGAAACGCCCCGCGATGAGGTTGAGAGCGTGTGAGATGAGTTCGAGTCCGCCCGCCGGATCACCGCGCTGCGCCTTGTATTCGGCGTGCAGCAGGTACGCCCGCAGGTCCTCCAGTAGCTCCGCTTGCTCTCGCACGGAGTCGTTGACGAAGGTTGCCGCCGAGAAGGTAAGATTAGAAGAAGGGAGGGGGGGAAGGTTTTCCGTGCCAATAAAATTAACATTGTTGACTGGAGCCTCACCGGCTTCATCTTCAGAGTCGTCGGTGTCGTTGTCGACCGCTGGAGCAGGGGGAGCGGCAGTCGCTGCGTCGTTGTCATGCCGGTTCGTCCGTGCTCCCCGTGTGCCTTTCTCCTTTTTTGCAGTTTCTTTTTTAGCCGACGCAGATGCGGCGGGTAGTGCAGTTTCCGCGGCTGTAACGCTGACGGGTTGCTGCTGTAGAAGGGACAGCAGCGCGTTGACCTGGTCCGGGGTCAACGCCTGCGTCAGCGCAGGGGCGGCGGTCGCGTCAGACGAGGAGACTGCAGTCCGCCTCCTCTGACGCTGACGCGACGGTCCAGCAGCGGGTGCTGGCGTGTGCTCGGCGTCAGTCGCGTGTGCCGCGCCAGTCCCCGTCGCCACTTGCGCCACAGGTGCCACTGGCGCCACAGGCGCCACTGGCGCCACAGGCGCCACTGGCGCCATAGGGACCGAAGGGTGCTGCTGTGTTTCGGCGTTTTTGTGGACCTCGAGCCCGCCCAGCAGCACGTCCACTGCAGTCGGGGCGGAAGGTCCGTCTTCTGCCCGACGCTTGTTACGGCGTTCGCTCGCAGAATCGCGGGCGTTACGGTCGGAGTCGGAAGCGGGGGTTGACGAGTTCCCGTTGTTAAGTGTCGGCGTAGGTGCCATCGTTGAGCGATTGAAGTTGAAAATGTCGCTGAGTAAAGTAGAGGGTGACTCGCCTCTAGGAAGCGATTTAATCCTAGCCAGCTTGGAGGGAAAAACTACTCGAGCGGAAAATGTTGAGTGAGCCGTTTGAAAATTGAGAAACATGGGTGGAGGGAAATGAGCTCCAACCCACGGTTTTTGTAGTTGGAGAAGGGCGTTTAGCGCGCTTCGACGATGCCAATTGTGCAGTACAAGCAGCTTCGCTTTCACAATACACAATTTTAAAAAACACTACATGTGTGTCTAAAAATTATATTTTTTTTGCTGACTTCTGAGGCCCTGTACTTGGCTGAATAGTCTGTATTGTACTTGGCTAAGTATCTTATTGTGTTTTGTGTTGTTCTCGGCTGATGATTGAGTTTGTATTGTGACACATAGCAATAGAATGCCCTTCAGTGAAGTGGGAAATGTGGCAACGTCATCACCACAATGCAAGGCCTCCCTCCAGCACAATTCCTGCTTGTACTCAATGGGGAATAAGCTAATGGGTGGACTGACTGCTGTAACGGGGTGAGATGCAAGCAGAACACTTATTGCATCCTAGATTATTCTCAAAGTAGACAGTTATTTCATGCGCCTTTAATCTTGTGTGCAGCTTGAGTTGGCGACAGGGCTTGTGAGAGTGCGGCAGCGGGCGGGGTGAGCAGCGGTGCAGGCGGGGATGAGTGGGCAGATGCAGGGGAGGGCGCACACAGCATGGCCTGTATGGCATGCACCAACTGGCACAGGGCCAAGGGTGCATGGGGGGAGAAGCTTGCTGAGATAGATCACGGGGGAAGAGAGAGGATGAGCCAGCAACCAGTGAATGGCCTGCACCTATAGGAAACATGGTTGAGTTGAGAGAGGGTGCATGTGGAAAAAGCGTGTTAAGGAAGAACCGGAGCAGGCTGAGACTGAATGGAGTGAAGTTCCTTCCCCTGCCATGCGTGTGCCTTCAACTGCTGCCACGCATGCTGCTACTATTCCTATGCTCTCTCCCCCATATGCTCCCCGCACTGGTTTTTCCCCAGGCAGTAGCCCTGCAGCAAGAGGTGTGCTGTCTGCATCGCTGATGTCTGGAGCATTGCTGTCTGCAGCGCTGCTGTTGCTGCCTCGTGTCTTGCTGCACCCTGCTTGCACTGCACCCTCGCTCCCCGTGGGAGCAGCGGCAGGCAGGTCACAATTGGAAAACATGTCTATCCACACACGGTCGACAAATCTTGTTTTTTTCTCGAGGTACAGTGGTACTGAGTGACAATGAGAGGGAATAAATGGGAGAGGCAAGGGGATGGGGGAGTGATGAGTAAGGGAAGCAATGCGAGGGAGAGGCAATGCGAGGGAGAGGCAATGAGAGGGAGAGGCAATGAGAGAAGAGGCAATGAGAGAAGAGGCAATGAGAGGGAGAGGCAATGAGAGGGAGAGGCAATGAGAGGGAGAGGCAATGAGAGGGAGAGGCAATGAGAGGGAGAGGCAATGAGAGGGAGAGGCAATGAGAGGGAGAGGCAATGAGAGGGAGAGGCAATGAGAGGGAGAGGCAATGTGTGCGATGTGCCAACAAGTGCAAGCTGGATTCGCAAACACATCTCTCCGCGCACCCACGCTCGCACACTCGCACGTGCCACACCATTTTTAGGTTCAGCGGTTGGCGAGAGTTCTGTTGGAGGAGATTGGGGCTGGGAAGAAAGGTTGGCAGAGGGGTGGAGGCGTGGGGGGGGGGGGGGGGGGGTGGTGAGGGCAGTTGGGAGGCGCAATGGTTAGAGCAGAGGGAACGGCTGAGGGAGGAGTTGAGTGGGAAATGGAGGGGCGTCTAATGAGAGCGTGGGAGCAGTAGGAGAAAATAATGAGCATGACACTCATGCCACACATGCCTGCCACAAATGCTACTCATGCCACACACGCCACCCATTCCCCCCCCACCCCCACCCCCGCAACCCCCATCCACCCACCCCTTCCCCCACCCTCTCGCCCTCCAAACCACTCACCACCAATCACTGCTCGGTTGCACGGTGCCACGGCAGGAGGGAGTGCCGGGGGAGCAGCACGTCGCATGAGCGAGCACCACTCACTCGCCCGTCGCTGCCGCCGCCACCGCTCATCACGGGGGAAAAGAGTTGAGCACAGCAGCACGGCACGGGCATGAGCGGACGGGGCATGGAGGAGGGCCAATAGGGTCCCGCACACACAGGATTCTGGACGGTCACCACGGGAATAGGCGAATAACTGCAGATGTTATTCCACCTGCTGATCCCAATGCACCAAATACACACTCAACCCTTCTCAACCCTTCTCACCTTTTCTCACCTCTTCTCAACCCTTCTCACCCATCCTCACCTCCTCAACCGCTGGCCCAGGTGGGTGAAGCTGCTCACAACCCTGGGCGTGAGGAAGAGCACACGGAGATGGCCTGTTGAACTGCATGCACATGTTCACCCGGCGCATGCGCATGTTCACCTGGCGCATGCGCATGTTCACCCGGCGCATGCGCATGTTCACCCGGCGCATGCGCATGTTCACCCGGCGCATGTGCATGTTCACCCGGCGCATGGGCATGTTCACCCGGCGCATGTGCATGTTCACCTGGCGCATGCGCATGTTCACCCGGCGCATGCGCATGTTCACCCGGTGCATGCGCATGTTCACCTGGCGCATGCGCATGTTCACCTGGCGCATGCGCATGTTCACCCGGCGCATGTGCATGTTCACCCGGCGCATGGGCATGTTCACCCGGCGCATGTGCATGTTCACCCGGCGCATGGGCATGTTCACCCGGCGCATGTGCATGTTCACCTGGCGCATGCGCATGTTCACCTGGCGCATGCGCATGTTCACCTGGCGCATGCGCATGTTCACCCGGCGCATGTGCATGTTCACCCGGCGCATGGGCATGTTCACCCGGCGCATGGGCATGTTCACCCGGCGCATGGGCATGTTCACCCGGCGCATGGGCATGTTCACCCGGCGCATGTGCATGTTCACCCGGCGCATGGGCATGTTCACCCGGCGCATGTGCATGTTCACCTGGCGCATGCGCATGTTCACCTGGCGCATGCGCATGTTCACCTGGCGCATGCGCATGTTCACCCGGCGCATGTGCATGTTCACCCGGCGCATGGGCATGTTCACCCGGCGCATGGGCATGTTCACCCGGCGCATGGGCATGTTCACCCGGCGCATGGGCATGTTCACCCGGCGCATGTGCATGTTCACCCGGCGCATGGGCATGTTCACCCGGCGCATGTGCATGTTCACCTGGCGCATGCGCATGTTCACCTGGCGCATGCGCATGTTCACCTGGCGCATGCGCATGTTCACCCGGCGCATGTGCATGTTCACCCGGCGCATGGGCATGTTCACCCGGCGCATGGGCATGTTCACCCGGCGCATGGGCATGTTCACCCGGCGCATGGGCATGTTCACCCGGCGCATGGGCATGTTCACCCGGCGCATGGGCATGTTCACCCGGCGCATGGGCATGTTCACCCGGCGCATGGGCATGTTCACCCGGCGCAGGTGCAGTGGCTCGCGCCACCCCCATACACCGTTGCAACACCGAAAGGCCTTTGGTCAGCGGGGATTAAGAACGACCAGAACAACCATTTGTGTGTCTAACGCCGCGCTAAGAGCGAGGGAGGACGGAGGAAGGATCACCAGTCGCTCATCACTACACCCCCACCCTTCCCCCCCCTCCCCCCTCATCACTACACCCCCACCCTTCCCCCCCCTCCCCCTCATCACTACACCCCCACCCTCCCCCCACCTCCCCTCATCACGTGGGATCGAGCCCAACGAGCCTGTCGCTGCCGCTTGCCTCTGCTCGCGCGCACATGCTTGACGTGACGCAGCGCGAGCGGGAGGGAGGGAGGGGGAAGGGAAGCGAAAGTCTAGGGATAGGTTGAAGAGAGAGGGAGAAAGGATCACCACGCAGTTGTCTCTGCCATCACCACGCACTACCTGTCCCAGCGTGCACGGCGGTTCTGTGAATCGCTCGTCGCCGGGCGACTTCGCGTAAGCGACAGTCGACGTCGGCGGCGACGGAGACGAGAAGGAGGTCGACAAGGGACACGTGTCGCCCAGCAATAGCTTCGAGCGCGAGTTATTCTGAAGCGAGTGTCACTAGGTTTTAGACTCCTAATCCGGATCCAGGGACGCGACGCTAGCGTCCGCTCCACGTGGCAGCATGTGAGCACTGTACATCAATGCGCGGCGACTTGGCAGCTCTGGTGAAGCTGACAGACCGATGAAGCGCGCGACCGCTGGGATGAAAGATCCAACTTGTTTCCACAACAACACTGCTACAAATGGGAGGGGACCCAGTGAGTGATAGTGGGAATGGTAAGTGAAAATATAGGGAAAATAGGCGAAAAGTAATTAGCACGGGACTCAATGACGCGTACACCTTGAAGTTTTCACGCGTGTGCATGGCCAAAGTTTCGACTCAACGATTGTGGCGACAGTAACCCTACTTACCTGAACAGCCCCCAGACCTGCATACTGCAGAGTTACCCAATCTGAAATTTTCGCGCCATGGCAAACTCTGATGCGAAACCTGAAGGGTCGGGTGTGAGTGGAAGGCGGACATTCACCTGGCCGCAACAGACGGACCTCCAGCAAAAATGAGGTCTTCCGCGCCGCGGCGAACTCCCTTGAAGCTCTCACGAAATTGTGGTTGTGATGTGAAGCTCCCCGCGCGAGGCCGAACGACTTACTTATATTGGCTGCGAAACTTGTCACCGCACCACTAGCAAACTCTCAGTTTCGTCAGAAACATAACCCCGATTTCGTCAGAAATTCCGTCACGAGCAAAAGCTGTAGGTTCCGTTCCAGATCCAGAACATCTTTTCCCCCAGCACGTTGACGACGCATTTTAGCTTCGTCACCCCAGTCGTGCGTGCACTATGGCTTTGTCGCGACAGGTTTCTGTTCTTGCCATTACGCTAGTTTTACTGCTGGCGCCTGCTGCGGCGGCGAGGCGGCGGCCCAGCAAGGGACAGCTGATTGCGGAGGTGAAGAAGGCCCGCGACGCGCTCAAGAACCCCAAACTGAATGGCCGATATCGCGCCAGCAGCGTGCTGCTTGATCGCCTCATCCCTCAACTGGGTACCGTGATGAACTCATTTTTTCTGTGGAATTTTCACATCTGTTTCTCCCCTATCCAATTAAAGAAAAGATAAAAACACCACAGCAACAACTTATGTTTGAAATTACTACCTTCTCAAATATTTTTCTCGTTGCTTTTTTTTTTCATCTGTGCTTCAGAGACCAACTGGAACCCAACGGACGCGTTCCTCGCCTCAGCCGACGGCAAAACTGTCCTCTTACCCGAAGACAGCGCAATCAAATCCGCGGCGCCTAATGCCATCTACAACATGGTGAAGCCGGATCTGAAGCGCCAAGAGCTTCGCTCCTATGCTTCGTGGATTCGTTCGAATATTCTCGACGGGGTGTTACCAGAGGAGAAGGACATTGCTACCGCCAAGGTGTTACGGGATGACAATGGTCGCAAGGTGGACACGGCTGTCACTGTGACGCCCAACGGCTTGGGGGGTTGGATAAAGAAGATACGCATCGGAAAGGGCAAGGCAAAAATCAAGCACTCCAAGCTGTTCAAGGGGAGGTTTTTCGTTATCCACGGTGTGGACGGAGTGCAGATGCCGCAGTAATGTAGTACCGGTATGCTTCTGTCGGGTCTGGCAGGGTGCAAACGGGGGAATTCTCGTTCAATGTATCTTTTATACCATGTATCATATGCTAATATAATCAATGACATGACACCGTCCCTGCAGCAACGCAGAAAGCCCCATCAGTACAATATATCGGTACCATCATGCCAAAAAAGCAGCCAACAGACATGATTTGGAAATAACTGAGTGAATGGATCGGGTTCTTGAAGAACCTCGGGTCAAATCTGCTCCACATTCTCCACCTTGTGAGTACACATGGGAGGGCAGTGGGTGCACATGGGAGAGCAGTGGGTGCACATGGGAGAGCAGTGGGTGCACATGGGAGGGCAGTGGGTGCACATGGGAGAGCAGTGGGTGCACATGGGAGGGCAGTGGGTGCACATGGGAGAGCAGTGGGTGCACATGGGAGGGTAGTGGGTGCACATGGGAGAGCAGTGGGTGCACATGGGAGGGCAGTGGGTGCACATGGGAGAGCAGTGGGTGCAGATGGGAGAGCAGTGGGTGCAGATGGGAGAGCAGTGGGTGCAGATGGGAGGGCAGTGGGTGCACATGGGAGAGCAGTGGGTGCAGATGGGAGAGCAGTGGGTGCAGATGGGAGAGCAGTGGGTGCAGATGGGAGAGCAGTGGGTGCAGATGGAGGGCAGTGGGTGCACATGGGAGAGCAGTGGGGCAGCCCAACCCAGACCAGCCCAGCCCAGCCCTGCCAGGCCTGTGCCTTCCCCTGCCAGGCCTGTGCCTTCCCCTGCCAGGCCTGTGCCTTCCCCTGCCAGGCCTGTGCCTTACCCTGCCAGGCCTGTGCCTTCCCCTGCCAGGCCCGTCGCTGCCGCCGCCGCTCATCGGGGGAAAAGAGTTGAGCCCAGCAGCACTGCAATGCACGGGTGGAGGAAGGAAGGCCACGCGGACGGGTTACACAGGCACTGAGGGGAAGGGAAGGTCAGTGCAGACGGGTAGTTATCATAGAGATATGTGGCTAAGTGACCGTCTGAACAGCAGCAGATACTCCCCGCCTGCTGATCGCAACTCGTTACTCAACCAATACAGTCTCAACCATTCTCGATCCTACTCACCGTTTCTCACCGTTCATCACCTCGTCAACCGCGGGCTCAGGTGAGTGACGGCGCTCACAGCCCTGGGGTGAAGGAAGAGCACCCGGAGGAGGTCTGCCCGTTCATCCGTCGCATGTGCATGTGCATCTGCATGTGCATGTGCATCTGCATGTGCATTGGGCTGCCCCACACCCATACGTGTGCGTGCCAGAGCCACCATTGCAACACGGGATGGCCTTTGAGTGGGCAGGGATAAACAATGACCGAAGCAGTCAATTGTGGGTCCAACATTGGGAAATGACTGGATTCAAAGCGTGACAAGCTCTCTAGGGGTATGTGAAAAACCTACCGGGTGTGCGGTGCTGGCAGCGACAGGTGTGTGGTGCTGGCAGCGACGGGTGTGTGGTGCTAGTTCCCTCATGATGAGTGGCAGGGGGTGGTTATGAGCGAGTGGTGTGATCCTTCCTCCGCCGCTCCCTCACTCATGGCACGTTGGACCCACGATTCTAGTGCGCCTGTGAAGGCTTTTTTATGACATATGATCCTAGCCTACTGTGTTCGGCTTTCAGAGTAGGGACCTTTTTACAATCTCCCTCGTTTTCTGATTAGCTGCCCAGCTCCACACCGCCACTCACCTCTTTTCGCGCGCATGAGCTTGGCGCGCCGCAGAGCAGGAAGGAATGAGGGAGGAAGGGAGGGAGCGAATTCCGTGGGATAAGGTTAAGAGTGAGGGAGCGAGGGAGAAAGGATCACCACGTACCCCTCGCTGCCAGCACCGCGCCGCCACTCATCACCTTGCTTGCATGCACATGCCATTGCGCGCCGCGTGGAAGGCGGGAGTGCGGAGAGGGAGCAAAATTCGTGGGATAGGGTAAAGAGTGAGGGAGCGAGGGAGAGCGAGGGAGAAGGATCAGCACGCACCCCTCAGCGGCGGCGATTGCGTCGAATTCAGCACTCGTGACAGGGCAGATGGCACTTCCTGGCAGGAAGGGGAGGCGTGGATTAACGACGGACGGGAAGGGCCGGCGAGAGGAAGGGAGATACAGAACGAGTCGATGTGTGCGACAGCGGCACCTATGCGTGGCGGCGACGCGCGCATTGGCGACGTGGGGGACGACAAGGGTAGCAGCGGCCACACGCGCACCCGGCGCCCACGGCGGTTCTGTGATTCGCTCGTCGCCGTGCGACATCGCTTATGCGACGCTCAACGACGGCGGCGATGGCGACGACCCCGAGGAGGTCGAGACGAGCGGAAAGTCGTCCGTCGCTGACGAGTCGCCAGAATTCATTTTGGCCAGCGACAACCTAAGCGCTACTAGTGATTCTGATAAGAACGCTTCTAAGTTTTCAGCGTCCGTTCCACGTGGCGGCATGTGAGGGCACCGCGCAATGCGCGGCGGCTTGGCAGCTCGGGTGAAGCTGACAGATCGACGAAGCGTGCGGTGCTGGGATGAAAGAGGGATATCTTGTTTCGCGAAGACTAGGATGTAACAATGCTAGAAATGGTAGGAGGCCAGATTTGTGATAGCGGGAACGGTAAGTGAAAACACGAGGGAAAATATGCGAATGGTAACTAGCTTGGGGCTCAATAACGCGTACAGCAGCCATGCGTAATCCGGCCAGCGTTACGACGAGTTCGGCGAAATGTTAACGGCGTTCACTGCACTGCGACCACGAATAGAAGCGGTTTATGGGATGCTTCCCGAGACGTTCCATTCGCGAAATTTTTGCCGACAATATACCCTAAGAAATGGCGAATGATCACGCTAATGGTCACTTAGAAAATAGCCGCCCGATCACCCTGATTTCAAGTTTCAAAAGGGATGTTTCTATCCCGTGTCAGACATCAAGTCATGCGGCCTTAGTCTCCAATTTGTCTCTTTCGAACTTCTAATCGCCCCAAAAACGAGCCACTTCGGGTCTTCCCACCCTCCACTTCGTGTCAAACCTAATGTATGACACGGAATAGAAACGTACACCTGATGCCCATTTCAGTATCGCTCCCCATCTTTCTCTCTGCTCCTCTTTCGAGCATGCGCTCTCTACGGGGAGAATGGGACTGTATCTGGGTAGCCCAGCGTGTCTTGTCTGGGGAACTCGATTAACCTATTCGAGGTCAAGAATATTTTAGCTTTGTCGTGGGCTAGTAACGCGCGGGCCGTTGGCTGTGAATGTCGACCACTGGGCGTATGGAGTGGCAGAGAAAATGTTCAGAGTGGGCGGTTGAGTGAGCATTAGGGTGTACCCAAAGAATGTCCAGCATCGAAGGGAGTGTATTTTTGGCGGAATGAAGGTGCAACGGGCACTCCGATTGTTCGCCCGGGCAGCAGCATTTTGTGGCAGCTCTGCCACGTCACTTGGACGGAATGATAAACTGTGTGTACACAAAATTCTCAACCTCGCTGCGTATAATTTCAGTTGAACTAAATCATTTTGGAAAACAGTCTGGATAACGTAACACAGCTCACAGTCAGTCACTCATACCGCGACTAGCAAACCCCGCGTTTCCAAGATTTTTTCAAGGGGAGCCGCCCTCAAAACCTTTGGAAACCAAAGGTTGCGGACATATGTTTGAACTGTTACAGACACTCTGTCGTCTTTTTGCCCCTGGCGGCGAAAGAAAATGAGCACAAATTATTCTGTTCAAGTCAATGCCAGCTTACAGGTTATTGCGAATAAATTGTAGGTCTCCAAAGGTGGAGGTCACACCTGCGAAGAGCCTTTAGGGTTTTGGCGCGGGCAGGGGGGAGAGGGAAAGGAACCAGTGGATGGGGAGGGAAGCGCGATAGAGGGAGGAGAGGGTAGAAGTTGAGGGGAGAGGGGAGGATGGCTGGGGCAAAGGCTCTTGTTTGCCCGAACTGGGAATGGAACGTGTTTTTCCCGCAGGAAATAGTACCAGTTCTGCATTGACGCCAAAACCCCCCGATCTTGCTGCCTGAGTCAAGCACTGCTTACCCAAAAGTGTCTGAATTCTGGACAGACATGTGTGATTCTATGTTCGAAAGAAGGCTTGGCAAACCTTTCTGCCTCGGGTGATGTCACATATTATTTATCAAGCTCCACACCGGGCGCGAATTGCAGCCCTTCGTTCCGCACTCGCCATCCTTTCCGCTGGCATACTACTGTACAGTGTATCTTCCGACCGATCCATTTCACAGCCAGCAGCCGTTCCGCAGCCAGCTGGAGCCGTTTTGCAGGCACACGAGCCTGCAACTCTCTGTATGAAGCAGGTGCCCAAATAATGTATAAATACATACGAATTTCTGGAATATGGAGGACTCTAGATACACCTTTGAGCAAAAATTCGGAGGGTGACTACTACTAGATGACCCTTTAGAACCAGATCTGAAGGGGAAGCACTGCCACGTTGGCAACTTCATCTGGTTGAGCTTCCGCCTCGGGGTTTCGAGTTCTGCTCTCCACCGCCTTGCACAATTCAAGGCACGAGTGTTGGTGCTTCGAGTGTGTCCAATTTTTCACTGGAAACCAAGAACGTGGATATCAGACTCTTCTCGAGCAGTTTCATGCCACTTCAGTTTCTTACTACCCAGTTGTGCATCCACCATGGTTTTGTCGCGACAGCTTTCTTTTCTTGCCATCTGGACGCTAGCGTTGCTGCTGGCGCCTGCTGCGGCGAAGCGGCCCAGCAAGGAGCAGCTGATTGCGGAGGTTAAGAACGTTCGAGCCGCGCTTAAGGACCCCAAACTGAGTACCCAATATCGCGCCAGCGGCATGTTTCTTGACACGCTCATCCCTCAACTGGGTAACCATGTTTCGCGCACTACTTTTCTCCCTAAAAGACGGTCTTTTGCTTTTCTGTCTTAGTTATCTCACCTCGTTCATTTTTCGTGTGCATCAGAGAACAATTGGAATCCAACGGACGCGTTCCTCGCTTCAGCCGTCGGCAAAACCGTTCTGCTGCCTGAAGACACCGCAATCGGTTCCGCGGCCCCTGGTGCCCTCTACGACATGATGAAGCCGGGTCTGAAGCGCCAGGAGGTTCGCGGCTATGCATCGATGATTCGGTCTAATTTGCTTGCCGGGGTCTACGACGAGAATGGCATCAGTAACGCCAAGGTGTTGAAGGACGGAAATGGTCGCCAGGTGCCTAAGGCCGTGACCGTGAACGGTGTTAAGGGACGGAAGGGGAAGCCCTTAATCGGAAAGGGGAAGGCACGAATCAAGAATTCCAATCTGTACAAGGGCAAGTTTTTCATTATCCATGGTGTGGATGCAGTGCAAAAGCCGTAGTAACTTTCTCCTCCCTTCAGTTGATTCAAGCTTGGCAGGAAGATAAGGGGGATCTTCGTTTTTCTTGAGTCTTTGTGGGACTGTTCTTATTTTACGCTATAAATTATGACATGACGTTTAACATGGCTATCTGTTTGGAACTATATGAATTCAAAACAACACGTAAGACAGATGTTTATGTAACATTCCATCATTCCCTGAAATACAAAACAGCAGCGAAGAGCTGAGGACTACAATTGACTGAGATGCCTTTCGTCCTTTAGGACGCGGGCACTCGCACTGATCGCCAAGGAGCCGGTATGGCTTTCCTGGGTGGTTTCTTAGTTACCATGCGTGAAGTCCTTATTCAGCCCCATTTGCGGGGTTCAAATAGGGCAACCGACCGTGCCGGGGAAGCCACTCCAATCACGATAGGGCGTCAGTAGTCAAGCACGATCGATCGCTGACTAGTGATTTGCCGAATTTGCGAGGGAATACGTTCGCGAAAAGATTTTCAGCGCAACTTTGTGTACCAGATTGTCACATGAAACATTTTGGTTTTTCGGTGAAATTGATCGCACACGATTGATCAGACTTAGTACCAGAGGATCAGTGAAGACACGAGAGGCTCCCCTGATCCTTAGTCCCTCGGTCGCTCTGCTCTTCCAACTTCTCGTTTGCTCCAACCTCTAGACTACCTTCTCGAAAGTCTTTTCTAGACATCTCCATTTCAACGCCGGCGCGCTTCGTCGGGCTGTCGGCTCCACCCGAGCTGCCATGCAAGTCGCCACGCATTGCGGTGCAGTGCGGTTCACATGCCACCGGCTCACATGCCGTCACGCGGAGCCGACGCTAGCGTCGCTTCCCTGGAGCCAGAATAGAAGCCGAAACCCTAGAATTAGTCGCTTCCGGATCACTCGCGCTCGAAGCTATCAATCGCCTACACGTGTCCCTTCGCGACTCTTCAGCGACGGGCGACTTCCCTTTCGTCTCGAAGTCGTCAATGTCGTCCCCATCGCCGCCGTCGTTGAGCGTCGCATAAGCGATGTCGCAAGGCGACGAGCGATTCACAGAACCGCCGTGCACGCCGCAACTGATGCGCGTGTCGCCGCTACTACCCGTGTCACCCCCCATGCCGCCTTTACGGGTGCCACCGCCACGCGTGGCGCCGCTTTAGCGCGCATCGACTCTTTCTGCTTCCCCCTCCCACTCTCGCCGTCACTTTTCGTCCGTCGTCATGCCGCGCCTCCTCTCCGTGCCACTGAATCCGCCGCTATTTCCGCCGTTGAAGGCTCCAGCAACGCAGACGGAACAGCTGCTTCCTCCCCGCCTTCCCCCTCACCCTCCCCCGCATCCTCCCCCTCATCCTCCGCCGACGCTTCCGACTCTTCCGCGTCTTCCGCCGCCCCGGCTTCCGCGCCTCCCCAGAGCAAGCGACAGTTCGCCATCGGCGCGCTACAGCAGCTGCCTGCCGTGTCGCCCGCTGCGGAGATTATCGGCACGGCGCTTCGACGCGCCAAGCACGTACGCGCGAGCAGAGGTGAGCATAGGCGTGAGTGCGTGCTGAATCCTGATCCTTCCTCTGTCGCTCCCTTGATCTTAGCAATATCCCCGTTCACCTCTTCCCCTCGAGCGCACACTCACACTCAGGCGTCTTTTCTGACATGTTGAGCTTATCAGCTGATGTGTGAACCGAGCTTATCAGCTGATGTGTGAACCGAGCTTATCAGCTGATGTGTGAACCCGAAAACTGAATTCAGAGACCCCGAAACCCGAATTCCATCTTGCGAATTTGGTTGATGCATTGTGCATGACGCGTTTACCGAGCTTGCTTTCATATCTACAGATTCAATGCATTAATGGCGCGTGAGTGGGTGGGTTGATGGGCGGGTGTGGGTGGGTGAACTGGGTGGGTGCGTGCATGCATGCGAGGGTGGGTGCGTGCATGCATGCGAGGGTGGGTGCGTGCATGCATGCGAGGGTGGGTGCGTGCATGCATGCGAGGGTGGGTGCGTGCATGCATGCGAGGGTGGGTGCAGGCATCATGAATGCAGCAAAGAGGGAGAGAAGCAAAGGAGCCCAACAACTGGACTGCCTTACCAAGGCATGTATGGCACGTGGAGGACGCAGGGCATGTGGGGCATCCTGGTGGTACATGTATAGCATGAATGCCTTTTCTGGTTGTATGTCTTGGTAGCTACAATTCCTTACACACATCCATGAGGGAACGCATTTCCCTCGTGTTTGACTCCTTTTCTAGTATCCCACCCTGCTCTCACACTTTCTGTCACATTCAACTCCTCTGCCTCTCGCGCATCGTCCACATCCCTCAACCCCTCACCCTGTAAAGCCCTCACCCTGTAAAACCCTCACCCCGTAAACCCTTCACCCCGTAAAACCCTCACCCCATAAAACCCTCACCCTGTAAAACCCTCACCCTGTAAAACCCTCACCCTGTAAAACCCTCACCCCGTAAACCCCTCACCCCGTAAAACCCTCACCCCATAAAACCCTCACCCTGTAAAACCCTCACCCTGTAAAACCCTCACCCCGTAAACCCCTCACCCCGTAAAACCCTCACCCCATAAAACCCTCACCCTGTAAAACCCTCACCCCTCAACCCCTCACCCCGCAACCCCTCACCCCGCAACCCGTTACCCCTCAACCCCTCACCCCTCAACCCTTCACCCTGCCTGCCCTCATTCCGCAGGAGATCAGCGGTCCTCTGGGGCGCTACGTGCGCCTCTTCCCCCGGCGCTCTCACCTGCACCCCTTTGAGCGCTGCCTGGTGGAGCTCACCCTTGGAGAAGGGGTGTACGAGGAGGTGAGAATATGAGGCGGTGAGGGAGTGTGGCGGTGATTGCAATGGTGAGGGAGCTCACTCACTTCCCCAGGCGCTCCCAGCTGCACCCCTTTGAGCGCTGCCTGGTGGAGCTCACCCTCGGAGAGGGCGTGTATGAGGAGGTGAGCAGGTGAGGCGGTGAGGGAGGAGAGAGAGTGAGGAGGGGAGTGAGACTCCTGGGTTGGCCTGTGTGTCTGCCTGCGCCCCACTCGTTTCCCCCACCGCCCCCAGCTGCACTGCACCCCTTGAGCGCCAGCTGGTGGACCTCACCCTCGGAGAAGGGGGTGTATGAGGAGCTGAGGTGGTGAGAGAGGAGAGAGGAGAGAGGTGATGCGCTGAGAGAGGTAGGGTGATGAGGCGGTGAGGGTGGAGGGGAGGGGAGAGGAGATATTTGGTTTAGATAGTGAGTGCTGCTCTGGCTTGGCTTGTGTGGCTGAGGGGACCTTTGGGTTGCCCTGTCTGTCTGTGCCTCGCTCCCCCTGCCGCCACCAGCTGCACCCTGTGTGCGCTCCCTGGAGGAGGTGAGTAAGGCTAACCTTGGGCGAGGGCGTGTACGAGCAGGTGAGGCAGTGTGGTTGGTGTTGAGGAGGCGGAGGAAGGTTGAGAAGGTTTGAGAAGGGTGAGGAAGGTTGACAAAGAGGTGACGGCGTTGCAGGTGCGGCTCGAGATTTTGAGTTGAGACGTGCTGGTCCCACTTGGAGAGTGCCTGGAAGAGTTTCGAGCAGCAAGTGGGGAGTGCCTGCCTGCTCTTGATCACATGCTCCCTCACTCCAACATGGGTATCAGCTGGACTAACCTCACCCACACTGCCCACCATCCACCTCTTCATTCCGGTGCAGATGGTTTCACTGGGATTCTAAGCGGTGCCGCTGCCTAGTTGCTCGCGTTTGTGTGTGCTGTGCTGCCCGCCAGGTGGTGCTGTCTCGCGTGGACGCCCTTCGCAAGAGGGTGCTGGACTGGACGTGGGCAAGAACGTATCGAGTCGACTCAAACAGCACCTGGTTTCAAGGGGTTTCTGCATATGACTCTGCTCTGCTTCTCGCCTCTGGCTGTGCTGTGCTGTGCTGTGCTCTGCTCTGCTCTCCCGCCAGGTGCTCTCTCGAGTGGACGCCCTGCGCAAGAGGGTGCTGGACGTGGGCAAGAATGCTGCCAGCCTTGTCAACAAGGTGGGTACTGTGCGGTGCGGTGCGGTGTGTGCTGCCGCCGTCGTAGCTAGCCTCTGGATCTGCAGCCTTATCCATGTCGTTTTTATTTGATCCTGTTCGGCCAAGGTCATGTCTATGGGGGGACACTGCTCATGGGGGGACACTGCGCATTGGGGGACACTGCGCATGGGGGGGCACTGTGCATGGGGAGGCGCTGCACATGGGGGGGCACTGCGCATGGGGGGGCACTGTGCAAGGGGGGCACTGCGCATGGGGGGGCACTGTGCATGGGGGGGCACTGCGCATGGGGGGGCACTGCGCATGGGGGGGCACTGTGCAAGGGGGGCACTGCGCATGGGGGGGCACTGTGCATGGGGGGGCACTGCGCATGGGGGGGCACTGCACATGGGGGGGAACTGCGCATGGGGGGCACTGCGCATGGGGGGGCACTGTGCATGGGGGGGCACTGCGCATGGGGGGGCACTGCACATGGGAGGCACTGTGCATGGGGGGGCACTGCGCATGGGGGGGCACTGCACATGGGGGGGCACTGCGCATGGGGGGGCACTGCGCATGGGGGGGCACTGCGCATGGGGGGGCACTGCACATGGGGGGGCACTGCGCATGGGGGGGCACTGCGCGTGTGAGGGCAGTGCACGTGTCCCATCCCTGACTGCTGTTTCGGCTGGCGCTTACATTGTGTAACCCCTTGTTCTGAACGCCCTGTTCCGTGCAGACGAGCACCGTGAAGGAGGCGGAGCAGGCCACTGCACAGGTACTCTCGGGCTCCCTTAGAGCTGCTAGCTAGAGCTGCACAGCACAGCACAGGTACTCTCAGGTACTGTCTGCAGCACAAGCAGCATGAGAGTTCCCTTAGAGCTGCTAGAGCTACAGTGCAGGGGAACTCTCATGGGGCCTTTAAATGGCTTCCTTCACCCTTCGTCTGTCTCACTACCCTCATGGCTTTTACTTTCTTTCACTCAGCTTGTTGTTTAACAAAAATTCCAAACCGGAACTTCTTATTCTTATTAGAAACTAGATCGTTCCATGTTCCTTACTCCTCGCATCTCCTTTCGTGCGACAGCCCCTTCCTTGCTTTCCCTCCGTGCTCCACCCCTCGCCTCAACAGGCCATGCCCATGACACACAATGACACACAGGTGGAGGAGCTATACACACGCAACAGCCACTTCCCGGTGCCAACTTCCCCTTCCTCGCTGCCCCTCCCTGCTTCACCCCTCGTCCTGTCACCCCTCGCACCACCATCAGGGCATGGCACAGGTGGAGGAGCAACAGCCACTTCCCGTCCCGGCGCCCACTTTCCCTTGCTTGCTTTCCCTCTCTGCCCCGCCCCTCGCCCTGTGTCACCCCGATCAGGGCATGGCACAGGTGGAGGAGCTGTACACGCGCAACAGCCATGTGGTGGAGCGACTCAAAGAGATCACCAAGGTCAGTGCGTGCTGAGCTGACAGCTTGGCGCAGCAAATGGCTCGTGAGTCCACTCGAAGGCGCAACAGTCGTGTGGTGTAGTGTATTGGTGAGGCGCCTCATAGGTGGAGGAGCTATACACACACACACACATACACACACACACACACACACACACACACACACACACACACACACAGCAGCAGCAGCAGCAGCAGCCACGTGGTGGAGAGACTCAAGGGCCTCGCCAAAGTCAGTGAGTGCTGATAACTGGGTGCAGCAATGGACTGTGAGTCTGACTCCAAGACGCAGCAATCACTTGGTTTGGTTGGTGGAGCGACTCAAAGACATCACCAAGGTCAGGTCAGTGATTCACTCACCGCTGCTGCTGCAATTTTCTGGTAAGTTCCGGGCAGCTCTGTGTCATACTGTTGTGGTGGCCAAACGCTTTTGCGACCGTCTCAAGGACTGCCGTGCTGCCACCCCAGCTGTGCCTACCATCACGCTTCTCTTCTCCCTGCCGTCCTCGAACCCCTCCTCGCTGCGCCATCACTCCTCGCCACTCTATCCCCTGCTCCTGCCCACTCCTCCGTGCCTCAGAGGCTCCGAGCCATACCGGTGCTGCGATGGGACCTGCCCACGCTGTGTTTGCTGTGCCTACCACCGCTGTTCTCCCTGCTCCCTTCCTTGCTCCGCTGCTTCCCTCCATGCTCGCCCGTGTCTCAGAGGCTCCGAGCCATACCGGTGGTGCGGCCGGACCTGCCAACGCTGTGTGTGCTGTGCCTGCCATCACCATTCTCCCCCCTGCTCCATCCCCGCCCTGCCTGCACCCACCGTGCCTCAGAGGCTCCGAGCCATACCGGTGGTGCGGCCGGACCTGCCAACACTGTGCCTGGTGGGGGCGCCCAACGTGGGCAAGTCATCCCTCGTGCGCGCCATCTCCACTGGCAAGCCTGAGGTGCGTGGGTGTGTGAGTGGGCTTGTGGGGGAAGAGAGGTTGGGAGGGATTGTGTGTGGGTGTGTGTGGGGGGGAAAGGAAAGGAACGCGGGGGGGGGGATGGTTGGGGGGGGTTTGCTAACCAACCACCCATTACTGTGTGTGCCCTTGATGTGCTGTGCCCAACTGCCAGTACTTCTTCCTTTCATGGATGCATGTCTGTGTGCATGCATGTCTGTGTGCATGCATGTCTGTGTGCATGCATGTCTGTTTGCATGCATGTCTGTGTGCATTCATGTCTGTGTGCATGCATGTCTGTGTGCATGCATGTCTGTGTGCATGCATGTCTGTGTGCATGCATGTCTGTGTGCATGCATGTCTGTGTGCATGCATGTCTGTGTGCATGTATGTCTGTGCACATGCATGCCTGTGTGCATGTCTGTGTGAATGCATGACTGTGTGCATGCATGTCTATGTGCGTGCCTGCATGCATGCAGGTGTGCAACTACCCATTCACCACGCGGGGCATCAGCATGGGGCACTTCTATGTGGATGGCCAGAAGCACCAGGTCGGTGCATGCGATGCATGGCGTTACATGGTGTATAGCGCATGGGGCGTGGAGTGGTGCATGGGGCACTTCTATGTGGATGGCCAGAAGCACCAGTTCAGTGCATGCATGGCGCGTGCATTGCGCATGGGGCGTAGGGCATGGTGCATCGTACACGGTGCATGGTGCATTGCTTACACGTGCACCATCTTGTGTTATCATAGCTTCCCTGTGAGCATGCAGCGGGAATTTTACAGGTGTAGGGTGTGCTTTACCTCCAGTTATGGAGCCGACTCTCTGTCTCGCTCTCACCACCATCCTTGCTCCGTTCTGCTGCTGCTTCTGTCGGTGCTCCTCAAAACGGTTCTGCTGACATTTAATCCCTTCTGCCTTGCTCTGCTCCTCCAATCCTCTTACTGTTTACTGTCAGGTCACAGACACACCAGGCTTGCTCTCCCGCCCTGATGGTACCCGCTCTCCTCCTCCTCCCAGTGCTCTCCTCCTCCTCCTCCCAGTGCTCTCTTTTCTTGACTTCTTGGTTCCGTTTTGTATTTTGATGCTCTTACTCTCCTGCACCCTCCCTGCTCCGTCTGCTGCAAGCTCTTCTGCATCACCACATGATTACAGCAGCACAGCTCTTTTAGCCACATTGCCACACACATCCAGTTTCACATTCACATGTTCCACTGCACATGCTCCACTGCACATGCTCCACTGCACATGCTCCACTGCCCATGCTCCACTGCCCATGCTCCACTGCCCATGCTCCACTGCCCATGCTCCACTGCCCATGCTCCACTGCCCATGCTCCACTGCCCATGCTCCACTGCCCATGCTCCACTGCCCATGCTCCACTGCCGTATTACATGGTCCATACTCTTGCTCTGCTCCCGTTTCCCATGCACCGCTCTTCCCGTCCTGCCCTCGCGCTGACCTCGCCCTGTGCTCGCCCTGCCCCCTCCCTGCCCTCATCCCCAGAGCAGCGCAACAGCATAGAGCTTCTCACCATAGCAGCTATCACCCATCTGCCCACTGCTGTGCTTTTCGTTCATGACCCCTCGGAGGAGTGCGGTGTCAACCGGTTGAAGCAGGTGAGGAGTGCGGTGTCAACCGGTTGAAGCAGGTGAGGAGTGCAGCTATGTTTGCCTTGTTTTCCACAGTCCATCCTACCGCACTGCACCGTGCTCTACCCAATTTCACCTTGCATGCAGTCAGTTGTTCCTCATTCCAGCTTACCCTTATTGGCCTTGTTGCATTTGTTGCTCCTTGCACTTGCTGCCTTTGCACTTAATCACCATTCCCCTACCCTTGCCAGTATCAATTGTACAGCGAGATAAAGACAAGATTTGCCGACCGCGTGTGGATCGACGTGATATCCAAGTGCGACCTGCCTGCTGCTGCTCCCACGGAGGAGCCTCCAGGCGGCCAATCAGAGGAAGCGGATGGGGATAGAAGAAGTGGTTCGGACAGGAGGGATACCGCTGCGGTGCTGCTGGGTGAAGCCGAGGCAGTGCGGGAAGCACATGGGGAGGAGATCGCAGAAGTGGCAGTGAGAGCAGCAAGCGTGGCGGTGGCGTGGGAGGCGTACAAGGCTCACGGTGGACCGGCTGCGGCCCTGCGAGTGTCAACCGTGGCGGGTGTTGGTGTGGAGGAGGTGAGAGGCGGGTGTTGGTGTGCAGGAGGTGAGAGGCGGGTGTTGGTGTGCAGGAGGTGAGAGGCGGGTGTTGGTGTGGAGGAGGTGAGAGGCGGGTGTTGGTGTGCAGGAGGTGAGAGGCGGGTGTTGGTGTGCAGGAGGTGAGAGGCGGGTGTTGGTGTGCAGGAGGTGAGAGGCGGGTGTTGGTGTGCAGGAGGTGAGAGGCGGGTGTTGGTGTGCAGGAGGTGAGAGGCGGGTGTTGGTGTGCAGGAGGTGAGAGGCGGGTGTTGGTGTGCAGGATGTGAGAGGCGGGTGCTGGTGTGGGGGAGGTGAGAGGCGGGTGGCTTCGACTTGAGTGGGGCAGGCAGTGAGCGCAGCTATAAGCCAAGTGTTGCATCGTTGTTCATTCAAAGCACCTTGGCTGGTTCTGTAACGCAATGCCATGTGCCTTGGGCACCGAGCCTAGCCTTGACTCTCTTCCGTTGCTGCTGCTCGATTTTCTTCAATTTCTTGCATAATTCTTATCAATCTTTCTTCCTCGTCACACTTTCCTCTTTCCCCCCTCTGTATCCCTTCTTGACATGCGTCTCCCCCTCTGCACCCATGCCATATACCAGTTGGTGCACGCCATACAGGCCATGCTGTGTGCGCCCTCCCTTGCATCCGCTCACTCATCCCCGCCTGCACTGCTCCTCACTCCTCCCACTGCCACACCTTCCCAAGCCCTGCCGCCAACTCAACCTAAGGATACAGAAGGTTCCGCGAACCTTCATGAAGATGCTACAGGGCAAAGTGCCAAGCACAGTTTGAAGGCATTGGAGGGAGAAAATCATACTGGCGGGCCGAGCAAAGCAGGGAAGAAGGGCAAAGGCAATGACTTTTACTACCCCCCACTGCCCTCTCACATGATGAAAGGTACATGACATGCCCGATAATGCAAAGAAGCATCCTGTCCTGTGTGTCACATGCTTGGTGTCAGCTTGTCAGATCATCTATGGGTAGGAAATGAAGCAATGGAATAGTAGCAAAGTTCTGCTGGAATTTTCCATCTTCTTGAGCGTATCAAGTATTTACTGGGCATTGGAGTGCAAGGGTGCCAACTGCAGGCATCCAGCAGTTCCTTGTGTGCATGGATGGATGCCATGCATCAACATTGGCAGCACACTTGGCCTTGCCCACCAACCATACCCTAATACAGTGCGAAGGTAGCGTCACTTCTAGCATAACAGCTTGATTCAAGATGGCATAACTGTAAAGTACAACAGTCACAACTTCCTCAAGGTGGCTGGCACCGCGCCATCCCATCACAACCAAGACAAGGCGCCACCCTACTAACTCTACTGCTCCCTCGGCTGCACCGCATCCACGCCATGGATGATAAAAAGCTTCCCTCTGAAAATCGCTGGAGTCTTGATCTTGGCCTTGCCCTTCCCTAACGCCACCTTCTTCTTGCCAGTCTTGGCGTCCAGAATCTCAGCGGCATCCACGATGTGCCCATTCGCGTTCTTCAGCCCCTTGGTGTTTGCCAGGTCATCCTCCTCGTACACTCCGTCCAGAATGTTCGCGCGAATCCATTTTCCGTACGGGGTAACGTCGTTGCGCTGAAACTTGGATTTCGCGAACGTGGTAACCGCGTCAGGCGCCGCGGAAGCGATGACTGTATCGTCGGGTAGGAGGACGGTTTTCCTCTCGGTGTTGGCGAGATAGTCGTCTGGTGGGTTCCAGTCCGTCTCTGAATCACATAAGGAAAGAATTGACGTGGGTACAGGGAATCTAAAAGTTCCTCGACGAGAAAATAGTAAAACGAAGAAGAAAGAAAAACAACGGTGATTTCATCGGGAAAGTGTGAGGCCCTAAAAGTTGCGCGCCAGCAGCTTCAAAGTTGCTTTTCCGCAACTTTGGTTTCGCAAGAAAAGAGTCTAGGTCAAATGCTTCTGGGGCGGGGTGACTTTCGAAGTTGCGGAAATGTGACGACAAAGCTGCAAAAGAACGGCCATATCGGACCACACAACCCAACTAAAAGGTGACATCAGAAGTGACATTTGTATGAAGGTATTGGGCTTTAAGTCCACTTTTGCCACATGGATACATGAACGCCTCGTGTTCAGATATTTTATGCCAAGTGTCAAGGTGAATAGTGGACGGAAAAATGCCACGTGAACCAATCAGATTTCGAGACGCATATTGGCCCACGCAATAAAATGTGTGAAAAGTATATGTACGTTGAGAAAAATAAACTTTTATAAATACAATCCTAGTACATCAGAGCTAACAATTCGCACTAACACCATTTTCAACATGATCTGGCACAACTAAATAATATACATGAAGTACTTCAACAGACACAAACATTGCTGTCCTTTCAACCACTTGAGCCTGGAGTTATGAAACACACATAAAAACAGAAACATCAAATCACAATTTTCCCTTGTCAGAACATTATAGCTTATGCTATTGTGTAGGCTATAGTGGGGTATCCCATAGGGGGTACAACCTGTCAGAACATTATAGCTTATGCTATTGTGTAGGCTATAGTGGGGTATCCCATAGGGGGTACAACCCAATTAGGGTTCCCTATATGTACTCACTTCATTCATAGTTCATTCATTCGCGTTCTCTTCTTCACATGGAATCAGAGCAGGTCCCCTCCTAGGGACTATTTCTAGGGCCCACCGAAGCGCGCCCCGAGGCGCGCTTTCCTTTTTTTTTAGCGACCCTCCGTGTCGCCCCTAGCGGCCCGTTGCGCCGCCCTTACCTACGCGGCCCCGCCGCCCTTACGTCGCGGCCCCGCCGCCCTCACGTCGCGGCCCCGCCGCCCTCACCTACGCGGCCCCGCCGCCCTCACCTACGCGACACCGCCGCCCTTACCTACGCGGCCCCGCCGCCCTTCTCTACGCGGCCCCGCCGCCCTTACGTCGCGGCCCCGCCGCCCTCACGTCGCGGCCCCGCCGCCCTTACCTACGCGGCCCCGCCGCCCTCACGTCGCGGCCCTGCCGCCCTCACTTCGCGGCCCCGCCGCCCTCACCTTCGCGGCCTCGCCGCCCTTGCCTACGCGGCCCCGCCGCCCTCACCTTCGCGGCCCCGCCGCCCTCACGTCGCGGCCCCGCCGCCTCACCTACGCGGCCCCGCCGCCCTCACGTCGCGGCCCCGTTGCCCTCACCTACGCGGCCCCGCCGCCCTTCTCTACGCGGCCTCGCCGCCCTTCTCTACGCGGCCCCGCCGCCCTCACGTCGCGGCCCCGCCGCCCTCACGTTGCGGCCCCCCTATCCTCACCTACGCGGCCCCGCCGCCTACGGTCGCGGCCCCGCCGCCTACCTTCGCGGCCCCGCCGCCCTACCTTACCGGCCCCGCCGCCTACCTCCGCGGCCCCGCCGCCTACCTCCCTGAGCCGAGCCGCTCTGCCGCCGAGCCGCCCAGCAGCCGAGCCGCCCGGGAGACGAGCCGCCCTGCCGCCGAGCCGCCCTGCCGCCCTGTCGCCGAGCCGCCCGGGAGCCGAGCCGCCCTGCCGCCGAGCCGCCCAGTAGCTGAGCCGCAGAGCCGCCCAGCCGCCCAGCCGCCGGGCCGCCCTACTGCCGAGCTGCCCGACCTGCCCAGCGCGGTGAGCACTGCACCACTGTTACTGCGTGCCCTTCCCCTACTGCTTGCACTGCTAGTCTACTTCTGTCATGGCTACCCCTAATGTCCTCGCTTTTGACGCTGAGGGTCGAGCCATTGACTTTGAGGTCTGGGTCGACGACCTGCAGCTGTTCTTACAGTGCGATAGGGCGGACGGACTTTCCCTCTTTGACCTCACCTCTGGCGCCTCTCCTACCCCTGCTGCTGATGCTGACCCCACTGTTCGCTCTCAGTGGGCCACCCGCGATGCTGCTGCACGTCTTGCTGTGCGTCGCCACCTGCCTACCACTGAGCGCGCGCACTTTAGTTAGTACAAGAGTGCTCAGGCCTTGTACGACGATGTAGTTGCGCGTTACTCTTCCCCTGCCACTGCTGCACTAAGCTGCCTCATGCTACCGTACCTCTTTCCTGACCTTGCTGCCTTTCCCACAGTCGCTGACCTCATCACGCACCTCCGCACTAGTGACACTCGCTACCGCGCCGCGCTTCCTGCTGAGTTCTGCGCTAAGAACCCCCCCCCCCCATGAACATCGCTCTCTACTACATAGTCACTCGCCTCCCTGACTCCCTTTGCGTAGTCAGGGATCACTTCCTCTCAGTCTGTCCCACCACTCTCACTGTTGACCTCCTCCAGAAGGCCCTCCTAGCGGCGGAGAAGAGCATAGTCGCTGTAGGTGCCTCTCGTGGTGACCCGCGCACCCCCATCTTTGAGGGGTGTTCTCCTTCCCCCCTGCTGCCCTCTGTTGCCTCTGCTGCTGCTGCGGACCTGCTTGGTCTTGAGTCGGTCGGCGCGGCGTCTGCCCCTAGCGGGAGACGCCGCCCTGGCAAGGGCAAGGGGGGCAAGGGCGCGGGTGGAGCTGGCGGGGGCGGTGGAGGTGGCGGTGGAGGCGGCGGAGGGAGTGGGGGTGGCGGTGGGAGTGGTGGCGGGGGCGGTGGTGGTGGTGGCAGCAGCGGAGGAGGAGGCGGTGGCGGCGGCAGCGGTGGGAGCGGAGGCGGCGGTGGTGGCGGAGGTGGAGGCGGCGGTGGCGGAGGGGGTGGAGCTGGTCAGGGTGGTGCCCCGCAGCGGAGCGGCTCTGGTGGTGGTCAGCGTCAGCAGCAGCAGCAGCGCTCGCGGGACATCCCCCCGCCCTAGCAGCTCCGTGAGTGGTACACACAGCGTCAGCGGGGTGGGGGTTTTGGTCAGTGCACCTACGTCCTTCGTTCCGGCGACCGCGCGGGTGAGCAGTGTGGGGGTGCCCACCCCACCCAGCGCTGCTTTGGCCGCCTGACGGACGCTTGGCGTCAGCAGTTCCCCGAGGCTAGTGAGATTCCCCATTGGGGAGAGCTGTCTAGGGCTGGCGTAGAGATGTTTGATCTTGACTTTGATGCTATCCTTGCTGCCATGTATGCTGTGACTATTAGTGATGAGGGTGACTGTTACCGGTGTTTCCCGCCCGACCCGGGCATTGGTACTGCTGCGCTAGGTGCTTGTGAGGCTGCTGCTCTTGGTGCCAGCGCGTCTGCGCTCTCAGGTACTAGTGAGGCTGCGCTCTCAGGTACTGCGTCGGCTTCGGCCTCCCTCACCTTCACACTTGACTCCGGGGCGTCTCGCTCCTTCTTTCGGGACCGCACCACACTCACGCCGCTTGGTCGGCCGGTTGCAGTCTCCCTGGCTGACCCCTCTGGGGGTCCAGTCCTCTCTCACTTCTCCACTGTCCTCCCGTGTCCGGCTGCCCCCTCGGGCACCCTGTCTGGTCTGTACCTCCCCTCGTTCTCGACGAACTTGGTGAGTGGTGCTGGCCTGCAGGATGCGGGGGTTCACCAGTTTACTCCTGCGAGTCAGCGGGTGACCCACTGCTCGGACGCCCACACAGGCCGACACCTGGCCACGTTTTCGCGTCGGCCGGGGTCGAGTCTCTACACCCTGACCACTGAGTCTCCTCCTGTCCCTACGTCTGGCCAGGTAGCTGCGTCGGGTCAGGTGTTTGCTGCTGCGTCCAGGTCTGGTCCTGAGTCTGCCCCCTGCTTGTGTCGCCTCCTGTCTCACGAGACTCTCCTGTGGCACCACCGTCTTGGCCACCCCTCCTTGCCTTGTCTTAGGGACATGGCTTCCCGTGTCCTTGTCTCTGGTCTCCCCCGGTCTCTCCCTCCTCTTCCTTCGGGGCCTGGACCTTTCTGTGTCCCTTGTGTCGAGGGGCGGCTCCGTGCTGCCCCCCACTCCTCCCAGTTTCCTCTGACACAGGCTCCTCTGCAGACGCTTCACATGGACGTGTGGGGCCCGGCCCGCGTCTGTGGACAGGGTCACGAGCGCTACTTCCTGCTGGTGGTTGACGACTACTCGCGTTACACCACAGTCTTCCCCTTGCGCAGCAAGGGTGATGTCACTGAGGTGTTGATCGACTGGATCCGCGCAGCTCGTCTCCAGCTCATAAGGAGCTTCGGCTCGGACTTTCCTGTTCTGCGTCTGCACTCTGACCAGGGTGGAGAGTTCTCCTCTGGCCTTCTGCGAGCCTACTGTCGTGCACGAGGCATCAGCCTGACCTTTACACTTCCGGACTCTCCACAGCAAAATGGGATTGCTGAGCGCCGCATTGCCATGGTCATGGACGTCGCTCGTACGTCCATGATGCATGCGGCTACCCCCCTTTTTCTGTGGCCGTTTGCGGTTCCGTACGCGGCGCATCAGATCAACCTTCACCCCGGGGTTTCCTGGCCGGGGAAGGTCCGTACCTCCCCAGCTCTGCTGTGGACTGGGAAGGTCGACGATGCGTCTGCGTTCCGTGTCTGGGGATCTCGGGCGTTTGTCCGCGACTTGTCTGCGGACAAGCTGTCCCCTCGTGCTGCTCCCTGTGTCTTCCTTGGCTTCCCCCCTGACGCTCCAGGGTGGCAGTTCTACCACCCCTCCTCTCGTCGTGTTCTGTCCTCCCAGGACGTCACGTTCGACGAGTCAGTCCCCTTCTACCGTCTCTTCCCCTACCGCACTCCTTCCCTACCCCCGCCACCGCACTTCCTTGTGCAAGGTCCCCCCCCGGTAGACCACCTTCCCCCTCAGGGTCCTGCCCCTTCAGGTGTGTCCCAGGTTGACGCAGTCGAGCCGGTCGAGGTTGCTGGTGACTCTGGTACTGCTGCGGGTGCTGAGCCTGGGGGTGCTGACTCTGGGGGTGCCGTGCGCGTGGGTGCTGAGCCTGGGGGTGCTGAGTCTGGGGGTGCTGCGACTAGGGGTGCTGAGCCTGGGGGTGCTGAGCCTGGGGGTACTGTCACTTGGGGTGCTGAGCCTGGGGGTGCTGAGTCTGGGGGTGCTTCATCTGGAGCTGCTGAGCCTGGAGGTGCTGCGTCTGGAGCTGCTGAGCCTGGAGGTGCGGAGCGTGCCGCCGCTGGACCTCCCCTTGTGGCGTCTGGCGGTGCTGGGCCTGGAGGTTCTCCGGGTGCTACGTCT